TCCTTCCTTCCTTCCTTCCTTCCTTCCTTCCTTCCTTCCTTCCTTCCTTCTTTCTTTATTTCTTTCTTTCTTTCTTTCTTTCTATCTTTCTTTCTTTCTTTCGACAGGGTATCCCTGTAGCCTCAGCTGGCCTGGAACTTGCTATGTAGACCAGGCTGACTCGATCTCACAGTGCTGCCTCCCAAATGCTGGGACTAAAGGTGTGCATCTCCATGCTCAGCTTTTGTTAGACAGGGTCTCACTGTGTAGGCCTGGCTGGCAGGCTGGCTTGGAACTCACAGAGATTAGCTTGTTCCCAAGAGCAGGGATTAAAAGCATGTAGTACCATGACTAGCTTTTTTGCTGGTTACTTTTTTTTAGCAGAGTCTTACTGTAGCACAGGCTGCCCTCAAACTCACTATGTATCTGAGGGTATAAAAGTTAACACTGACAACATTGTTATCTAAGCTATAAATCTTATTCATATTTTGCCAAGATCTATTAATGTTCTATTCTATTCATTTTGAAATATATCTTATCACTCAAACCATTCTTAAATTCTCCTCCTCTTCCTCCTCCTCCCCCTCCTCCCCTCCTCCTCCTTCCTCTCTCTTTCTTTCTCTCTCTCTCTCTCTCTCTCTCCTCCCTCCCTCCCTCCCTCCCTCCCTCTCTTCCTCCCTCCCTCCCTCTGAAGTAGGGTCTTGCTCTGTGGTCCTCACTAGGCTGAAACTTGCTATGTAGAATAGGCTAGCCTCAAACTTGTGGGTAATCCTCCTGTCTCTATTGCCTAAGCATGAGATGCCTAGTCTCACTCTGTAACTCAGTCTGTCCTCAAATTCAAGATGATCCTCACGCCTGTCTGCTACATGCCCTTAGCAATCTCTGGCAGTTCTTTCCTTAAGTTGCTTCTTTAGTCCCCGCACTTCTCGAACCTCCACAATCATCAAGATAGATCAAGCCATCCCTGTGTGGTGGCATATGCCTTTAGTCCCAGTACCGGGGAGGCAGACACTAGAGGATCTCTGTGAGGTGGAGGCCAGCCTGTTCTATATAGCAAGTTCCAGGCCATCTGGGAGACCCTGTCTCAAACAAACAAACCAAAACCAAAGCAAAAAAGACAGAGCAAGCAGGTACAACTCATCCTGGGTATCTGTCACAACCTCCCATTTGATTTCCCCACTTTTAGTTTTGCTCTAATCTACAGTTTATACTAGCTTTATTGGGGAAAGGGCCAAGTAGTATTTTAGACTTTTCAAACCACACAATCTTTGTTCCAACTACTCACCTCTGCCAGTGTAGTATGAAAACAACCAGAGACAATTTGTTTATAGGTGAATGAGGCTGATTTTATTTATGGACACTGATACTTGAATTTCAGTGCTCACTTCAGCAGCACATGTACTAAAATTGGAACAACACAGGGATTAACATGATCTCTGAGTAAGGATGACACACAAAGTTGAAGCATTGCATATTTTTAAAAAGTAGTTGTTAGCCGGGGGCATGGTGGTGCATGCCTTTAGTCCCAGCACTCAGGAGGCAGAGGCAGGTGGATCTCTGTGAGTTCAAGGCCAGCCTGGTCTACATGTGACTTCCAGGCCAAATGGGGCTACATGGAGACCTTGTCTCAAAAACACCTAAAAAAAAAAGTAGTTGTTTAGAATCTTTTCTGAATTTCATATGTAATAATCATTTTTTTCCCAATCATTTAAAAAATGTTACAACCATTCTTTGGCTCGTGGACCATACAGGCCATTGTTTGCTGACTCCTTGCTCTTATCCATTCCTTGTACAGCATCCAAAAAGTCCATTCAGCTCACTCCTCTCCAAGATCCCTCCCAAGCCTCCTCCTGCATAGGAAGAGACTCACAATGCCTGGCTGTGTCTGGGTGCTGTGACCCCTCGTACCTCATCCTGGGCCTCTAGCCCTGTCAGTCACTAGGCCCTACACACTCTTCCCTCTTTCCAGAAAGTCACGGTCCCATTTCAGGGTCTGTGCCCTCATCATCAGTTTGCCTGAAATGCTCTTTTGCAAGTTCTTTCTTCACCTGGCTAACTGTCATTTGATACTGGGATCTTTTCCGGAGGGAGGCTTACACTTTCAGAGTCCTAATGGAAATTATGCTCTGCCTATTATTAACACACAATACCTTTATCTTTTTGTTTGTTTGTTTGTTTATTTTTGCCTTTTTGGGACAGAGTCTCCCTGCAGCCTCAGCTGACCTGGAACTCACTATGTAGACCAGGCTCGCTTCGATCTCACAGAGATCTGCCTGCCTAGTACTGGGACTACAGGCGTGTGCCACCACGCTGGCTATCTTTTTCTTTTTTCAGCCCCAGACCTTGTATGTGCTAAGCACACCCTTTAGCACTACTGAGCTATACCCCCAGCCCTGCACACTCTTCCTCCTTGACCCACTTGAAATATTTACCCCAATCTGTAATTATGAATTATTTGATTTTACTGGAATATTTCATGGAGTCAAGGATCTTGACCGAATATCCAGAAGGTATCTGGCACATAGTGGGTGTTCCCAGAAAATGTGCTAAATGAAAAGACCCTTCGTTAAGACCCCTGAGTCACCAGGACAGATTTCCTGAGCAGAAACCTGCCAACCTACAGAGCTGGAAGATGGAAGATGCTATGGCTGCTCCCCAGGCACCTCCTGCTGGTTTGTGGTACTTTCCAAAGAATCTGCCCTGGGCAAATTCCTGCCACTGAAAGATGCTTTGTAGCTGTACTCTGCAACCTGCTTTACATTTTCTTTCTGGTGCACTTCCTCTGCTGTTCTTCCTGAGAACAAGCCTTTCCCACTGAGAGTAACCCTTTTCCATGACTCTGACCAGTTATTCCCTGGGGTTGCCTGGGATCTTAAAAACAGCCATGGCCAGGCGTGGTGGCGCACGCCTTTAATCCCAGCACTCAGGAGGCAGAGGCAGGTGGATCTCTGTGAGTTTAAGGCCAGCCTGGTCTACATAGTGAGTTCCAGGACAGCTAGGGCTACAGGAAGATCATCTCTCAAAAAGACCAAAAAACAAACAAACAAACAAACAAACAAACAAAAACCCATAGCTGTTAAATCAGTCTATGTTATTCAGCTGCCTTTCAGAAATGTCCAGAGGTTGAGAGAAACTTGAGAAGCAAGGCAGCCTTCAGAAGAGTCTAGCAGCCCTGCCTGCAGCCCCCTGCATGCTCTGGTTAACCATCCATAGGGGAACTCCCTTCACAGTTATGTCTTAAGAGTATGAATCTGCTGGGTTTAATGGCACTTGCTTTAATCCCAGCACTCAGGAGGCAAAGGCAGGAGGATCTCTGTGAATTCAAGGCCAGCCTTGTTGACATAGTGAGTTCCAGGCCAGCTGGGGCTACAGGGAGACCCTGTCTCAAAAAGACAACAAAAATAAGATAAAACACAATAAAAGGATAAGTCTGGGGTTTGGGCATAATTCAGTGGTAGAGTGTGTGTTTAGTGTGTGTAAAGCCTTGGGTTCCATTCCCCAAAAGAGAAAATAAAAGAAGCCTGTCATGGAGGTACAGCCTTCTAACCCTAGATCTTCACGACGCTGAGGTAGAAGAATTGCTTGAGTCTAGGAGTTCAAGACTGGGCTAAGCAACATAGGGTGACCCACCCCCTTGCTGAAGGAAAATTAAATTCAGTTCCATAGGTACACTAGCCACAATCTAAGTGCTCAGAAGCTGTATGCAGCTGGTGGCTACCACATTAGACAGCACAGCTGGAGGACATTTCCACCACTGCACAGTGCTGCTTTAGACCCAAAACCTATTCATCATGCCCCATCAGTTTTCATATTAATTACAGAATTTACCTGGCCCTAATGTGATGGCGCACTCCTATAATCCCAGCATTTGGAAGGTGGAGGCCAGCCTCATCTACTTAGCCAGTTCAAAGCCAGCCTGGGCTATAACCTGTCTCATAAAACAAACAAACAAACAAACCAACAGAATTTACAGATAAGTACATACTATTTTTTTCAGTACTGGGAATTGAACCAGCTTTCTACCATGGAGCCACACCTCAGCTCTTCATTGTAAATCCTCTAATATTATAAAAATGTCCCTTATCAGTTTGAGACTTATTTCCCAGAGATAGCTACCAAAATAAATTTGGTGTGGTTTTATTCCCTCTGAATTGTGTGTATTCTGCACTTTTTCATCCAACAGTATCTTGGAGGTCTTCCTATGAGAACATCTCTCTTGGACTGGGATGTAGTTCAGTGGTAGAGCATTTGCTTAGTAAGTACAAAGCTCTGAGTTTGATCCTCAGCATGGCAAAAATATTTAATTAAAACAAAATAAAACATGTCTTCTTTGTTCTCAAGGTGTCATAGAGTAATCCAAAGCTAGGGGACTTTAAATGATTTGACCATTTGCCTCTTCTTGGATATCTGTATCCAGTTTTATTGGATTCAGATAGTACCGCATGCAAACACCCTTGCACTCCCTTCTACTTTTACATTCTTACTCCTTTGTCTAGGGTGGATACCATGAAGTTTGGAATTGCTAGGTCATAGAACATACACTAATGCCCCTAGGGCTTTGGCACACCTCACTGCTTCTGCCTACAGTCTGTCCACATGATTAATTCCTATTCATCAAGCCCCACCAAATGTCATGTCTTTGTGGAAGGTGGTCTTTCTTGCCTCTGTTTTCTCTCATGCTACAACCTATCCATATCTTGTCACCATTGTACACATAGGGCTTGGCCTTATTTCTCTATGTATTCCCAGCATCTAGCATAGGGTTTAACACAGAGCAAAAATTCAAATGGTTCTTTGGCTGGAAGAATGAACAAATAAACAAATGAAGGCACAGTGGTTAGGACATTCCTGAGACTCAAGGTGAGTCTTCCAGTGTCCTGAAATTTGGCTGTAGATCAACCTGCCACCTGGTGCCCTCAGCCAAGATGCTACTTGCTCATTTTCTGTCTTTGGCTCACCTGGCCCTGGGCATCCCTTTCTGATCTGTTCAGGTTGGAGGGGGCAGTGTGTAATTAAGGGTTCTGGCCATAGGGCATAGAAATCTGAGCCCCAGGGGTGGCAGTTGCTTGGAGTTGGGTTTCCAAGGGCATGTCTGTCTCCTTTCACCCACAGCCTAATATGCTCTGGCCCCACTCCATTCTCTCAATGCCTTAGGGACAATTGAGATCAGCTGCAACATTTCTGTTTCCTGATTCCAGATTTGAACCCAAGGGAAGCCAGATGTTTTCCACTGCACATCCCCCTTTTCCTTCTGGTCTGATGAACAACCTGCTTTCCTAAGTCTCTATGCCCTGGCTTCCTTTATATCCCAGAGCCTGGTTGCCAACTTTATTTTTAATGAGGTTTTAATAGGCAGCTTCTGTAATTAATTTCATTCTTGTATTTTTACACTTTCTGTGTAGGTGCTGAAAGGCCTCAGGCACTAGATTGGTATGTTAACTGATTTCAAATAATACAAAACACTATGGCTGTCATTAGACATTTCCCTGCTCCTCTCATTTGTAGTTGTTTTACAATCATTAATTAGCTAGGCACATGGCCCAGTGGAAGGTCAGCCGAGTTACCAGTCAGGTTTTATACAGGCAGAAACAGAGATAAGGATAGGTTTGTTCAAGCCCCTAGAGTGTGTTGAAACTGGTTTCAGATGCCACATCCTCAGGTTTCAGATCCACTACTCAAGATTTGCCACTGGCGGCTAGAGTCCTCAAGCCAAAGGTCTTTGTGTCAGCACAGGCACCTGGGGGAGACAGTTTCTCCTTCCTACACATCCCGCCCTCAGCAGCTACTGTTACCCTTGAAATTACCCCCCATTCATTCTCAAAAGGGAAAGGCCCCCTTTCCATTTTGTGAGCGGACTCAGCTGAGGGAAGAGAGGGTCAGTGAGTCCTCTCGGATTTAGAAACGCGATTTTGCTATTTTTAAAGCTGTGTTTTAAAAATCCGCGCGCGTCCTCACACTCCTCAGGGAGTGGTGGGGCAGGAAAGAGAACAGCGAGGCCGGTGGCTTCCCAGAGCACCGGGCTCCAGGGGCCAGTCCCGGGCACTCTCTTACCCCTGATGCTTTTGCGGTGCCAGGACCCTCTGGGTAGCAGAGGCGTGGGACCCAGCTGGCACGCGCTCCTTCCCAGGGCACCCGGCTGAAGGAGGGAGAGGGAGGGGCGGGGAAGCCAAGCAGGTGACGATTAGGTCAGCCTTGGAACATTCTTGGACCGCTCCAGTGGATATAAATAACAGACGGACTGGCTCTGAAATCCCGAGAGGCTGGGGAGAAGGGGGTGAGGAAGAGAGATTTATTTGGGGTGGGGTGGTATCGTGGAGGTCCAGAAAAATCTACCACGGAAAAGAGGTGAAGAGACCAAGGGATTTAAGAATGTATGGAGGTACAGAATCTGGGAATATGAACACAGACGGGGAGGAGTTCCTATCTTTGGGTCCCATCCCAACCTCCTGTTTGTCCCAGGCCTCGGAATGCGCCCCAGAGTATCAAGCAGAGCTGTGCTTGGGAAGGGGAGGGCTTTAGAGCCCCTTCTGCACTAGTAGAGATGAACAACACGCCGAAGGTGTCTCCAAGCCTCGCTTGTACGCTCTGTATAGTGAGAATTATAGTGCTAATAGGACAGGGTGGCGGCGAGCCTCTCCAGATCTAATTTCCAAGAAGGATGTGCTCAGCAAAGAATTCAATGCCTTGTCACCCCCGATTCCCGCTCCAAGGGCGCGGATGCAGGTTCCGGATTGCTCTCACTGGTCTCGGGCTCTGCAAAGTCCGAGAGGGGCAAAGCTGAAACCCAGCTCTCAGTAGCCTGGTGGCCACCACCCTAGGGCGTTAGATCGGCCTCTCGACTCGCAAAGCAGACCCCAGGCCCGCGCTCCCACAGCCACCCGCGCCGGGATGCCTGCAGTCCCCGCAGCAGGGATGCTGGTCCCTGGGGTTGGGGCTGAGGTGTCGTGGAGAGGGCGGGGCCGGGGGCCGGGCTTCCCGGGGGAGGGCCTGGCGCGCTCCGGGAGGCGACGGCCCGGGCCGGGAGTGGTAGGACTCGGGACCCAGCGTGGCCGGACCCCCACCCACCGAGGGCCCCCGAGAGAACGTGGTAAGTGCTCTAGAGGGGACGCTCGGGGACCCGGCGTGGGAGCCGTGGTTCAAGCTCGCCCTGTGGTCCTCCGACCCCTGAAGTTTGCAATGAGACCGACTCTGGCGGAGGAGACCACGGCCGTCCGCGCCCGCGAACCCAGAGGCCATCTCATCTCCCGCGCCAACTCGGCGATTCCTCAGGCCAGCGGGTGGGCAGAGGGGCGTCCGGGCGGGAGGACCAGACCGTCTTCCGGGGTCCCTCGAGGGTCCCAAATTGCTCTACTCGCTCCCGCCCTGAAGCCCCAGAAGGGGCCTCTGTTGAGAGCCCCGATTTCTTGGGGCCGCCACCTAGCGCCACCATCTGGAGCCCACCGCAGGGCGGGCCCAGGCAGGGGAGCCCCTTCCCCTCCGCGGTCACCGGCCGGCCCCACCCCCACCGAGACCAAGTTCAACAAGTTTGGCCAAGAAGTCCCAGAACCTCCATGTCTAGGCCTGGCCCTGCCTATCTGTGTGGCGCCACCGGCCCGGAGTTGTTCAACGCCCCGCCATCTGGGGCCGAGAGGTGGCTGGTCGAGTGCCGCGGTCTATAAGGGTGGAGGCCAGAGACCCGCAGCCCCTGGGTTCCGAGATCTGGTGTGGAGACTCGGGGTTTAGAGTGCGTCATCAGGGAGCGGGCACCTCAGCCGGCAGGTCGGGTTTCCAAAAGTGCCCCTTTGTTTTGCCCCTCCCCGGCCCTGCCTCCTCCCTCTTTCCCTGAACCACCCCCTCCCCCAAGCCTCCGAAACTGCTGGGTGCCTGTACCAGTATCCTGCGCCTAAGTGTCCTTCTCTGGATCAGCGACTGTGCCCTCAAATCCTAGGGCTACAGGCTGACTGGGAGGGGCTGCTCGGGAAGAAGCCCTGTGACTCAGGACATTCGTCTGGGCAAGGCAGGGTGGCTCTGCCCCCTCCCAAGCCCCCATCCCCAGCTCCTGGGAAGGTGTAGGGACTGGCATGTGTGTAAGGGGAAAGGGGAGGAGGTGGCTGAATACCTGTGGATCTCAGGTGGGGAGTGGGCCTCTACCCTGAAGTCCAGAACTCCCACCTTGGCCCTTGAAACTAAGAGGAGACCTAGCCATGTCCCAGAAACCTTCTCTGGGCTGGATAGGTGGAGCTGGAAAGATTTAACAACCTGTTCCTGCTCTCTGAGCTCCTGCCTCTAAGAGAGCATGTTCACTCAGATTTGGGTCCTGGCTAATGTCAGGAGGCACAAGGTGCCAACCCTTCTTAACAGGGACCAAGGTGCCAGGTCCACCCCCATAGCTAGATGAAGCAGGGGTGTGGGGCCTGGCTGTGCCTGGGGCTCCAGCTTGTGTTTGCTCTGTGAGGCCTGAGGGAGCTGTGCCAGCTCTGCACACACAGCCTGCTCTGTTCTGGGGCCAGAGACAGGGAATGGGTGGGGGGCAGCTCTCCTGGGAGCAGAGAGCAGGGAGCAGGGAGGCTGGAGTAGGCAGGGGCTACAGGCCCTGCCGGCTTACTGGGGCAGCTCCAAAGGCCCAGTGATTTACGACTACTGCTCTCTTTAGCTCCATCTGGCTAGCAAGGCGTTTCTGGACAAGTGGGACAGACTCAAGAGGAAACAAGGTGAAGAGCTAGTTAGGGCAGTGGTGGGGTAGTTGCTCTGTGCCCAAGGACCTCCATTGCCTGCACCCCAATGAGGTCTCTACTTAGGCCAGACTGTCTCAGACCTGCTGCAGCCATCAGATTTTCTGGTCTTCAGGTGGGATATCATTCCTCTCTTTTCCTTTTTGGTGCTGGTGATGGAACTTCAGGCCTTAAGCACATTAAGCATGTGCTCTACCTCTGAGCTACACCTCCAGCCCCTTATTTTCTTATTTAGCTGTTACTGATTCCAGTACCTGGGGAAACAAATGGAAACTATAAACGTTTGTCAATGACAGATACAGTCACAACCTATGAGTGTATGGTGGGACTGGGATCATAGGGGCTATGAAACCTCAGGATGGAGGAACAGGAGTAGTGACTGTGGAGAAGATGCCTCCATTTGAGTTTTGAGGGTGAGTAGAGGTTCATCAGTTTAGAGAGAGTCCTACTTTGTGTGCAGTAGGCACATACTCTATCCTCTTTCCTGACTGTCGCTTAAGCCTTGGGCTATCTGAGAGGAGGAAGCAATTTCCACTGTGAATCAGTTGGTCCTGGGGATAGCTGAGACCCTGCCCAGAGGCAGGAGGAGAGAAGCTACATGCTGCTGTGTCCCTGAGATGGTGACTTTGGGGTTAGAATTCACCTTGCCTTCCTCTGCAATTCTTCTCACTGGCTGTCCCTTGCTGGCTGTCCATGATGCTTCACTCTGGGCTTTTTGGAGGCAGAATGGAGTTGCTTGTTATCTCAGGGCCCTTTGGGACCTTCCTGGTTGTTGTAGACAGGGGATGAGTGTCTCCTTGTGACTGATGGCTCCCTAGTGTTTCTGGTTCATTGCCTGGTTTGAGTCTTACATCAGCCTCAGGATGGAAGCTGACCAGGTGGGGAAATTTCCTCCTTAGAGGACAAGTAAATTGCAGTTATCCAAAACTTTCCTGGCCATGATAGGGCCCAGGCCTCCTGGTTCCTTTTCCACTTTGCCCGGCATGAATAGTTACTGGCTGTTACTGGGTACTCTCTGACTTAGACTGGTCTACTCACAGGGTCTCCTTGTCATTTAAGGATCCTGGTTGAGCAAGAGTCTTCTCATCTGAAGTAGGAGTGTAGGGCTTTCTGCCCACCACCCACCCCCGCTTGCCATCTAATCCTCTGCTGGATCATGTGACCCGCCTGGCATTCTCAGCCAGGAATCTGGCCCTTCTGACAGCAGTTGCTATATTGGGGGAGCTGGGCACCGCCCTAAAGACTGGAGGCCCCCACCCTTACCCCCTTCTGTGCTCTCCTTAACTTCAAGGCACAGTCATAGCGGAAACTTGGAGACTTGGACACCCGGGTCGGTGAAGTGATCTCTAGACCCCAGGTATGTAGAGGGTGGGCTGGGAAGGGCAGACCCAAGGGGCGCAGAGTGCTTGGAAAATGCCATCTTTGCCCTATCCTGGCTCCTTCTCAGTACTTCCAGATCCCTGAGCTTAGTCCTAGCAATGATGGTCCCTTGGGTGGTGGGGATGGCAGTGGGACAAAGCTTTGTGGTATGAGAAGAGGACTGCTCTTCCTAGGCCCCAGACTGCTGGTCCAGCTTTTCTGCTTACTCACCTGCTCTCCACAGTCCTACATCTGCCACCATTCCGTGCTGCGGGGATACCATGGCTCCAGAAGAGGACTCCGGAGGGGAGAACTTAGCGGGCAGTTTCTGGGAGGTGAGCAGCTGGGGACTGGTTTGGAATGGCAGTAAAATGTCCCCCTCTCTGGGCTCAGCCACATGTCCAGGGGAGGAGCCTAGCTGTCAGCCCCAGCTGGAGAGGGCACGTCTCCTTGGTAAAGCCACCCCTCCTATGTGCCCTAGGCTGGCAACTATAGGCGGACAGTGCAGCGGGTTGAGGACGGGCACAGGCTGTGCGGGGACCTGGTCAGCTGCTTCCAAGAGCGTGCTCGCATCGAGAAAGCCTATGCCCAGCAACTGGCAGACTGGGCCCGCAAGTGGAGGGGTGCTGTTGAGAAGGGTGAGCCAGCATGGAGACCTAGCGAGGAGCAGAAGGCCGTGAGGGTGGGACCATCAGGACAGCTTGTTTCTTGAGGTTTTGTGGGTGCTGTGGATGGAATGCAGGACTTCAAGCATGCAAGGCAAGAGGAATCTATATCCCTACCCCTCTATCCATTTTCTAGAGGAGAAACTGGAAGTTCAGAGAAGTGAAGGCACTTGCCTGAAGTCACATAGCTGGAAAGAGTTAAAGGAGGAGTCCATGGCTTCTGACTGGGTAGAAAGAGCCCAGGTGCATAGTTTAAGCAGTAGATTGGGGTTCACTTTTGGTTCCATTCATAGCTGTAATGCTTTGGGCTAGTTAACCTGACTTCTCTGGGCTTTAGTTTCCTTGCCTTCTCTGTGTTGGTAATTGCACTATTCCCATGGTAATGGTGGAGGCAAGAATTTGTGAAATCGCTCATGCCAGGGCACAGAGTGGGCATTCTTAACGCAGCGGCTGACATTGCTGCTGTTCAACTTTGCACCCTCACCCTACATGCATCTGTAGGTCACCCAGAGCAGTTCCTAGGGAGAGGGCACGTTTAGAACAACACCCTGGCCTTGTCCAAGCTCACTCATCCCTCCACAGGCCCACAGTATGGCACACTGGAGAAGGCCTGGCATGCCTTCTTCACCGCAGCTGAGCGGCTAAGCGAGCTGCACTTGGAGGTGCGGGAGAAGCTGCATGGGCCAGACAGTGAGCGTGTGCGCACCTGGCAGCGAGGGGCTTTCCACCGGCCAGTGCTGGGCGGTTTTCGGGAGAGCCGGGCTGCGGAGGATGGTTTCCGAAAGGCCCAGAAGCCCTGGCTAAAGAGGCTGAAGGAGGTGAGACTCGGAGCAGTGGGTATCTGAAGCAGGCCCCTTTCAGGTCTGCAAAGGACCAGGGTATGGCATGTAGGATCTGAAGTTCTTATGCGTGCCAGGTTGAGGCTTCGAAGAAGAGCTACCACGCAGCCCGGAAGGATGAGAAGACATCCCAGACTCGAGAAAGCCACGCAAAGGCAGACAGCGCCGTGTCTCAGGAGCAGCTGCGGAAGCTGCAGGAGCGGGTGGGACGCTGCGCCAAGGAGGCGGAAAAGGTACACGCCCAGAGCAAGGCTTCTTAAATGAGTCTTCTCTGACTTCCAGACCCCAGCACTCTTTCTGCTCTAATCCCCATTGTCACCCGCTCTGGAGATGGTCACTTGAAGGAGGAACCTAGGGCTAAGGAGATGGCTCAGTGGGCAAAGTGCTTACTGTGCAAGCATGAGGACCTGAGTTCCCATCTCCAGGCACCTAGGTAAAAGCTAGACAAGGAAGCTGGAATTTGTAAAAGGGAGGTGGTGGAGTGTTAGGAATAGACAGGAGGCAGATCCCTGGACCTTGATGGTCAGCTAGTCTCAAGCTGAATCCCAATTGGTAAGCTCTGGGTTCAGTGAGAGATTTTGTCTTAAAAATAAAGGGTTCCACCCACACCCAGACTCACACACAAAGGAAAAGGGTGATGCTTTACCCAGAAGAGGAGTGATGGGGTTTCAGGCAGTTGGGGACTTACTTCCTTGCACAGTGTACTACCAGGGACTAGTTCTCACATTGCACTCTACCCTGAGTGCCCTTCCCTCTAGCATTGTAAATTCTCCCTGTCCTCTGAGGGGTGCCATAGCTATAATGCCTCCTCCAGGAAGCCCTTCTGATTTCTCCCATCTTATGTAGGCAGAGCCTGTCTTACTTTCCAGGTTTTTATAGGTGTTGTATCTGAATGTCACTTCCCTTGTTAGGCTGATTCAGTCCCTTAGGACAGGAAGTGAATTTCAGACCTGATTGTCTCTGGTGCTAGCTTAGAGTCTAGCCTGTGGCTGTGCTTGGCAAATACTGGTACACTTTTGAGTGGAAGGCAATCTGTCCTCATTAGCCTCGCTCCCTCTCTCTCAGACAAAGACCCAGTATGAGCAAACCCTGGCAGAGCTAAATCGCTATACCCCACGCTACATGGAGGACATGGAGCAGGCCTTTGAGAGCTGCCAGGCTGCTGAGCGCCAGCGGCTTCTCTTCTTCAAGGATATGCTGCTCACCTTACACCAGCACCTTGACCTCTCCAGCAGTGACAAGTATGGTTTATGGGCTGGATGTGGGGTTTCCTCTATCTCCTTTGGGTTCTAGCTGGACTGAATGGTACTGGGGTTTTAGGGGCTTAGGACTTCCGTGTCTGATTTCATGCCTCATAGGTTCCATGAACTTCATCGAGACCTGCACCAGGGCATTGAGGCAGCCAGTGATGATGAGGATCTGCGTTGGTGGCGTAGCACACATGGGCCGGGCATGGCCATGAACTGGCCACAGTTTGAGGCAGGTTGGGTGGGACTGGGAGGTGGATTGGACTTGGTGTGGGCCCTGGGATGAGGCCAGGGTTTTGGGATGGATTTGGTGAAGGTGGTCCAGATGGTCCTGCTGCCACCACAGTCACAGCCCAGCCTGACCCTAAGTACTCTCCCCACAGGAGTGGTCCTTGGACACACAGAGAGCAATCAGCCGGAAGGAGAAGGGTGGCCGGAGCCCTGATGAGGTTACTCTGACCAGCATTGTGCCCACAAGAGATGGCACTGTACCCCTGCCGCAGTCCCCAGCATCCCCAGGGTGAGAGCTAGGATCCTGGTCAAAACAAAGAAACAGCTCTGTCTCCTGTTCTTTTCCCTCTCTTCTTTCCCCTCACATCAGAAGTGGGTTAAAAATTGTTACCTGACTTAGGAGAGGTAATGAGGCCGTTTCATAGAAGTTTAGATTAGCGTGTAGTCCCCATTTTCCCTCTTGCTTTGGCTGCATATCAGCTCAGCCCACTGGAATTGCACCGGAACCTGAAGTCATGAGTGGCAGAGATGTGACTAGTCCTTCAGCTCCTTTCCACCTGCCTCTTTAGCGTCCTTCCAGGGGACAAAGCCCTTTGCCCCAAGTACTGGGTAAGGTCTGTAGCCCAGAATCTTTATGCCCTGAGTTGTCCCTTTGTTTTTCCCCCTCCCCAGCACTGGGCAGGATGAGGACTGGTCAGATGAGGAGAGTCCCCGGAAGGCTGCCACTGGTGTGCGAGTACGGGCACTTTATGATTATGCTGGTCAGGAAGCTGATGAGCTGAGTTTCCAAGCAGGTACTTTGGGGCCCTTTCCTATTTCTTTCCATTTTGGCCTGTGCTACCTGTCTGAACAAAGCTGTAGAAAAGAAAGGCCAGATACCCTCTTCTTAAGGGCTGAACAGGGTCTGGCCAGCTGGGGCCTGATTGTTGCTTCCCTGGGGTCTAGGGTTGGGTGGCTTGCTGGATGGGACCTACTCTTGTCTGAGCTGGATTTCCTCTAGGTTGCAGGCCCATTTCCTCTTGTGCTACTCTATTCTCCTCAGTCCTTGATCCAGTTTTGGGACCAGCTTTGCCAGGGCCTTTGGTAGTGACCAATTCTCCTTCCTCCAGGGGAGGAGCTGCTGAAGATGAGTGAGGAGGATGAACAAGGCTGGTGCCAGGGTCAGTTGCAGAGTGGCCGCATTGGCTTGTATCCTGCCAATTACGTGGAGTGTGTGGGGGCCTGAATGCCCTGACAGCCCTACTGCAGTGTCTCTCCATTTTGGGCAAGAGCCCAGCCCTTCCTGGACTGCCAGAACTGAGGGCCCTGAACCATGTGTTGCTGCTGTCCCTCTGTTCCCAGAGCGAGGACATTTTAGGGCCCATGAAGGGGAGGGGCCTGTGTTTGGTAAGGGACGCATAGGGAAGGGCCAAGTAAATATAGGTTGAAGGAAGGATGGGAAGGTTGGAGGTGACAGAGGGTTCAGGGGTGCTTAAGCCTGCCCAGGAGCACTTGGTGTCCCAGGAGTGGAGGATCCATTTCTTAAACTGTTTGGAAGTTTCTGGAGTGGGGTTGGAGTGAGTGTAGTTTTGGGCTAGCAGCATACTCTTTTGTTGACTTGTAGTGTGTATTAAACTTGGTGAAAAAAAAAAAACAAAAAACACTGTCTTTGTGAGCATCCTTTGATACCCCACCTTTTCATCTGGTGGGAGGCCCTGGGGGAGGTTCTTGGGCTCAGCATGTGTTATGGAGACCGGATTGGGCATGTGTTTGCCTCCTGGTATCTGCCCTGGAACTTCAGGACGGTGATCTGGGCTGAACCGGCTTTGGGTTAGGCTTGGTGTGGGCCGGCCAACGCTCCAGGTTAGTTGCTGGATTGTCAACTGAGCCGGAGTTCCGTCAGTGTGTCTTTCCTCTCGGGCCGACGGGACAGGGAGCACTTGGAGGATGTTAATCATTACATATCTATTGGTAACTGACCAGAGAATAAGGCCATGGGCGACGGGCAGTGGCCCAGCTGTGCTCCGGTCCCGGAGGCCGAGAACTCGCGAGGAAGGTTGGGCAGCCCCACTCCCACTAGCCACCGCCCGCTGGGCTACGGATTGGCCAGACGCAGCGCAGCGTTCACTCACGCCCTTTGTCGAGCTGCTGACGTCTTGTTTCGGTCCAGCCGGCTGCTCATTGGTCCAGATCTAGTCCAATCACTCCACCCCTCGGCTGGCCAGGGCTTTGCCGAGGCCAAGCGGTTAGCCCGCCTTCTGCGCGCGGATTGGCCCGCAACGGGACCCATCAGTCTCGATTGTGTCTAGGAAGGAGAGAAAATGGCGGCGGAGCCGAGCAAGACTGAAATCCAGACTCTTTTCAAGCGACTCCGCGCAATTCCCACCAACAAGGTGCTTGAGCGGGAGGGGCGCGGGGCCTGGCGTTGGCCCCGAAGGACTCTCCTGCCCCCCGGGGCCTGAGGGGTGGAGCGCGGACCGAGGTGGGAGGTTTTCTTAGGGTTTGACGCGCCGGGCCTCTGACAATACACTTGTCTCCTCCACTCAGGCCTGTTTCGACTGCGGCGCCAAGAGTCCAAGTTGGGCCAGCATCACGTATGGTGTTTTTTTGTGCATTGACTGCTCCGGAGTGCATCGCTCCCTGGGTGTCCATCTCAGCTTTATCAGGTGGGTTCTGCGCGCTGATGCTCTGCTTCCACCGAGGTTGAGTTGTCAGCAAGGAGGAGAGGTCGCCTCGACTTGGACTCTCTAAAGTCGGTATTTGGATATCTCTGGGCGGGAGTTTTGGTAGCCTCTTGCGGAACATGTGGGGCCCTTGCCACGACATCCGAATCAAAACCCCATTTTCCTCACGGTCAACCCGAGACTAAGCATTAGTTTAGGGGGGAAAGTTAGCTGCATTGACCTTGTTGTTGCAGCTAGATTGATCCAATAGATGAAGACTATGACCATCCTTAAAATGAGAGCCAAATGTGTACGTGCATGCCTGAAAAGGCGACCTCCTTTCAGAGCTCCTTTTCGGAAATTAGTACCTTTTGGAATAAGTGGATGAAGAGCAAAGCTTTCAAGCACACGGAAGTGGGGGAGGAAATGGGGCAGCGACTGATCATTTCCTGGACACCCACAGAAGCCTGAGGCCAAATCACAGGTGTAGACTTGCCAGGGAAGCATGTCTTGGTATCGGTTGGTAGGTGACACACAGCCCTTGTACACAGGTCCACAGAGTTGGATTCGAACTGGAGCTGGTTGCAACTGAGGTGTATGCAGGTCGGGGGAAATGCCAATGCGGTAAATAAGACATCTTTTACTCCCCTCTACCCCCATTCTTTTGCTTGAGTACTAAGTTTTCCTGGGAGGCTTTCTTGGTTTCTCTGTTCAGAGAGTTTTTCAGCTCTGTAACACCAATACACAGTTTTCTAAATTGGAAAATTGTGGAAGCGTCTCTTGAAGGAGCTTCAGATTTAAACTGAACTGGACAGATAGATAGATGCCCTTGAGAAAAGCCGAAGAGTTTCTGGGCCTCCTCAGTCATTGAAAGGTCTCATGGGCTTCCGGAGGGAGGATAGTTAGAGTGGGTATTATATTTTTTTCTTTAGGCAGGGTTAAGTAGATGCTTAGATGTCATCCTGTTGTCTTGGAGGAGGGGAGCTAGCATGGTATTTTTTACAGGAAGTTTGGAGGAAAGGAGGATGAGATGGCTCAGCAGGTAAAAGTGTTTGTGGTTGAGCTTGGTGACCTGAGTTCAATTCTGGGAACCAACATAAAGATGGAAAGAGAGAACCAGTTCTACAATGCTGTCCTCTGACCTCCACATGCACAGACACAATAATAATAAATTTAAAAAAATTTTTTTAAGGAATTTTAGAAGAACTTTATCTCTAAGAAAATCTGTTGGTGTTAATAGTTTGCATCCTGTAAATATAATAACCCAACTGTTTAAAGAGGTATCTCCTATAGTCAGTACAGCTTTGCTCTGCTAAGAGCATCTGGATTACATATTCCATTCTTTTTTGTGCTCTCTAGACTGCCTTTTTCCGACAGCATGGGTGTGTGGCCAGTGATGCCAACACCAAATATAATAGCCGAGCTGCGCAGATGTACCGAGATAAAATCCGCCAGTTGGGGAATGCAGCCCTGGCTAGGCATGGCACTGATGTAAGTGCTTGCTCCTGGGTTGGGGTGATGGAATAGGGGATGGTTAACAGCTCTGAGTTTGATAGTGCCTTCACTCTTTTAGCTTTGGATTGATAACATGTACAGTGCTCCTAGTCATTCTCCAGAGAAGAAAGACTCTGATTTCTTCACAGAACACACTCAAGTAAGTATCCACAGAGACATTTCCCCCCCAGCTATTCCTAACAAGTGGTCTACTTACCAAAGTCAAGGCCTTTTGTGATCATGACATAGATTCCTTTACTTAGGTGTGATATCTCAAAGAATGCCTATGACCGCCGAGTTGGTGATTACTGTCTTCTGGGTAGGCTCAGGAGTTTCTTACTCCTATAAATAGGATTTCCTCTGAAATCCTCCTTAGGAATGGGTCCTAGAAATATGGTTGGTGGAGAGGAGAAGTTTGGAGACTCAGAAGGTCTTGCAGGAGCCCTAAACAACTTCTAGATTTTCCAGAAAGGAACTGAAGTTGGAGACAATGTGAGGATTCCCTCTCCTGTAACACACCTCTATAAAGAAGGTTTCTCCTCTATTGGCAATGGGCATTGAAGTCAGAATCTCAATTTGCCTCTCACTGTAATTTTTGGATGTGGCCAAGTCACTTAACCTGTCCAAACTGCAGTTTCTAAACTGGAGACATAGCTACCTCGAAGGGCCTGTTGTGATAATTGAATCTATTACCTGTTCAAGCAGCTTTAGATTTGTGCCTGGCACCTGGTCAGTTTGAAAGAGTTGTTACTGACTTATTATTTAGGGAATGGGCTCTGGCTGGTTGAGGGAGAGGAGGTTTTCCTGTATCTTTCTTGCATGATGACTAGCAACTCTAATTGCTAATCTCTAGTCCTCTTTCATAGCTAGGAGTAGAGCCTAGTACCCACAGGTGCCTGTCGGTTCTTAGTGTTCCTTGCTAGCTGGAGAGCTCACTGAAGCTTTTGTGATCTGGCTTCCTTTTTAGCCCCCTGCCTGGGACACAACAGCCACTGAGCCTTCAGGAACTCAGCAGCCATTCTCACCATCAGAAAGCCTGGCACGTGAGTTCAATCTACATTCCCACCAAGTACCCTGGTCCTGAGAAAGGATTTAGGATTAGGAAGGGGACACTTGGCCAAGGGAATAGGAGTCATAGAAGGCTCCACTATGTCCTTGGGTGGAATGGGATTTGTTTTAGCTCCTTTGAGGAAGTGGTGGTATATATCTTTTGTGGCAAGCTGAGGAAAGCTAGTGACTCTTGTCCCACTACCTGTTTAACCTAACTACTGTCATTGCATCTACAGAGCCTGAGCATGGCCCCAACACTGACCTACTTGGCACCTCACCCCAAGCCTCTCTGGGTATGACAGCTGGCAGATGTGGGGTAACTGGGAGAGGGTGGGCTTCAAGTGTTCCAGATCTTTTCTGCCTGGTCATGTGATTTGAAGACTGAGGAAACTGAGCAACTGACCTCTCTGGGGTGGGGACTGGGATTGACATGACATCCAGGCCACAATACTGACTTCAGAGTCTTTCTTTGATCTGATAAACTTGAGTAGCTACCTCTGAGTATGGGGCTGGAACTAGCACCAGGGTAGGAGCCTGGTGTGGGGCTGAACATCTATCCCTGGTGTCAGGCAGAACTGTTCTGTCTTATCTCCCAAGGTGTGGGAATAACTCTGAGCTGCTAATGGCTAGAGGTAATACTGTCCTTTCAGAGCCAGTCCCTGGCATGTCCTTCAGCTTTTTTCCCATTCTTTAGTGGCCTTCAGACTTGATCAGGGTAAAGAATTACTTTGCCGACCTTGGTTCTGTTGACTTTTGGGGGTTGGGGCAGGAAGGTAGTGGAGTGACTATTCTGACCCTGTCTGGCATAGCTTGGTTTGAAGCAGGCTCTGTACAGGCCTCTGGGTTTGGGTGCTTTATGGAGGTTCTGTGATAGGCCTTTATTATCCACAAGTCTGTTTCTCCTCCAGAATCCATGTATCTGTCAGCTAAAGGGGCCTCTCCTGCCAGAGGTAATTAGTGGTTTGGGGAGCCTGTCCTCTACTTGCCAGCTCCCTGCTCTAAGAGCTGAAGCTGTTCAGCACCCTGGCTGTCCCCACCTTACAGGCTTCACTTTGGTTTGGGGACTTTGTAGCAAATGCTTTAGGTCTGGGCCCCTGTTGCAGCCTTCTAGACGTCAGTAAGCTCTCTAATCATGTCTGTTTTGGCTTGAATACTCTTGGTTGGAACTAGTGGTGGCTGCTTTGCCTTCCTGTTGATGCTATTTTTTTTAGATGTTCTTGCGGTGAAGCTGCATGGTGTGGACTGAGCCACTGCCTCTGACTTTCATGCCCGCCCTCTTCCTCACACAGAACTGAAAAGCTCCATCATTGGCAAGAAGAAGCCAACAGCAGCTAAGAAAGGGGTAGGTGAGGATAGGCAGTATCGTAGGGTGATTGGGAGCTGGATTTGGACTGCCTTAGTTCTTCCTCTCACCTGAACATGTAGTAGCAAAAGTACCAAACTTGTCTGAACCTTGACTGTAAAAAGGATTAAAAAAGATCCTCATCTTAAGAGGGCTCCTAGGCAATAAGATTGAGCACATGTAGTGCTTAGCAGAGTGCTTGGCACACAGTAGGTCCTAGTTGTCCTGCTTTTCTCATTCCTGAGACCTCTGTGGAGTTGTGGGAAGTACCTCATAACCAGCTCCTGCAGAACCACTGTTCTCTCTCAGCTGTGCTCATTGGAATTCTTGTTTTGATCCTAAGAAGGAGGACCCCTTTCCATGTGGGTATGACAACAGTGCCCATGCTGGGAGGGAGCTGAAGATAATGGCTGGCAAGACCCTGTATCACATGGTTATCTCCCCAGCTTGGTGCCAAGAAAGGCCTAGGGGCCCAGAAGGTGAGCAACCAGAGCTTCAGTGAGATTGAGCGGCAGGCCCAGGTGGCAGAGAAGCTCCGAGAGCAGCAGGCAGCAGATGCTAAGAAGCAGGCAGAGGAGTCCATGTGCGTGATTGCCACAGTGCTCCAGGCTTGTGTGGGGTTTGGTGGCAGGTGGCCTGGATGGCAGCCTCTGACTTTTCATTCCCTCCAGGGTTGCCTCCATGCGGCTGGCTTATCAGGAGCTCCAGATTGATCGAAAGAAGGAAGAGAAAAAGCTACAGAACCTTGAAGGAAAGAAGCGAGAGCAGGCTGAAAGGCTGGGCATGGGCTTGGTATCCCGAAGGTGAGGCTCAGGTCCTGGTGAGGGAGGGGAATACCATTGTTTTCTAGGAGCCAGTACAGGCCCTACCCAGCAAGTCAGGATTCCTTGCTTAGTCTTCCTCTGAAGGTGAAGAGATCATTTATTTTATTGTCTTAAAGTACCTAGCACAGTGGTTGGCCACAATAGGTAAGTGCTCAGCATGTATTGCATGAGTGAACAGGATGGGGTGCTAGGATAGTGCTTATTAATGAGGCTGCTAAGGGCACTTTGGGGTGGTAGGTTAGTTTTTTATTTTCCAAGACCTTACTGAAAACTATAGGGCGTTTTAGTTTTAGCCTCCTTAGTCCATGTCCACTAGATGCCATTTGTCCTACCAGATATTAGTACACCTCAGATTACCCCACACATTTCAGATGCATCAAGTACCTTTACCCACTGAGCCATCTCACCAGCCCTTAATCTTTTGGTCTTTCATTTTTTTTCATTTTTTTGGTCTTTTGGTCTTTCATTTTTTTGGTCCCCTGTAGCCCCCGTGGGTCTGGAACTTGCTATGTAGACCAGGCTGGCCTCGAACTCAGAGATCTTCCTGTCTCTGCCTCCCAAGTGCTGGGATTAAAGGTGTGCACTACCACACCTGGCACCCTTAATCTTTTTGAAAACTACATTTTAATTTTTTTGTGTGTTCCAGGGATCAAACTTAGATCATCAGGCTTGGCAGGATTTGACCTCCTGATCAAACTCCTTGGCTCTTGGTGATGTTGCTTGTTTTGTTTTTGAGACAGAGTCTCAAATAGCCAGTCAAATATTACTACATCTGTCTGGTTTCTTTCTTTTTTTTTTTTTTGGTCTTTTTGAGACAGGGTCTCCCTGTAGCCCCAGCTGTCCTGGAACTCACTATGTAGACCAGGCTGGCCTTGAACTCACAGAGATCCTCCTGTCTCTGCCTCCCGAGTGCTGGGATTAAAGGTGTGCGCCACCACACCAGCTCTTTCTTTTTTTTATAGTGCAAATTTAGCATACTTTTTTTGTTTTCAAGCTGTGTATGTGTTTTGCTTGCAATGCCCACGGAGGCCAGAAGAGGGCATCAGATCCCCTGAACTGGAGTGCCATGTGGGTGCTGGGAGCTAAACCGAGATTTTCTATAAGAGCAGACAGTGCTTTTAACTGCTGAGTCAACTGTCTAGGCCCACCTACCCTATTTTTAAAGTCCAGTTGCAAAATATTCACTCTTTTGAGGTTCTTTAATTGGAAGCTATAGATACTTTCTAATGAGTTTATTCAAATTAAATTAATACTGAAAGTGTCTCTGGATCCTGACAGGAGTGAGGCATCAAGCTATACTGCCTACCCATCCCAGGAATGCTGACAGATCCAGGTCTTGGTACGTGGGCCAGACCCCGTGCTAGGAAATGTTCCTCCTTTTTTCCTTTGTTTTCTTCATCTTTCTCTCTCTCTTTAAGGGCTAGAATGACTAAAGATGCACTGTGAAAGCATCAGCCTCCTCTGGGTGTTCTCCAGGCTCTCCTTTGTGCATGTGTGCATCTGTCTCAGGAAGGATCTAGTCCATTGACGTTAACAATGGAGATGGAGCTGGGCAGAGTGGCACACGCCTGTAATCCTGCCCCAGGGAGTCTGAGGAAGGAGGATCTGAACCACATAGGCAGTCTTCTTAGAGAATGGAGAGTGAGCACTTTCATTTGGTGAACATTGTTATTAAATTTGTAACAAATAGCCACTGTCCAGGGAAAAGCTCTCTCAGGGAACAGAATTGACTTGGTAACATTCCTAGGTATGCTCCCAGCTCACTACATACAGGGCTCAGCACCTCTGCTTGGCTGGCCCAGGTGCACAGGCAAAGTGAGGCTGTGGACGGTGTCTGGGAAAGCAGACCCATCAACTTGGCAGCTGATCTTGGCCAGTGAGCTGATCAATGCTCATTACTAGCCTCCTACCTGCTTCACTTTCCCCACAGCTCCATTTCCCACTCTGTGCTATCTGAGATGCAAGTGATCGAGCAGGAAACCCCAGTGAGTGCAAAATCCTCCCGTTCACAACTGGACTTGTTTGATGATGTTGGAACTTTCGCCTCTGGACCCCCAAAGTAAGACTTTTGGTGAGGCATAGACTTGGCTACTGTGTTCTGTATCAGGTTTCTCTGAGCTACTCTTGTCTGAACCTGTCACCCTAGGTACAAGGACAACCCCTTTTTATTAGGAGAAACTTTCGGTTCCCGTTGGGATACAGATGCGGCCTGGGGTATGGACAGGATAGAGGAGAAGGAGCCTGAAGTGACCATCTCAAGCATCCGGCCTATTTCAGAAAGGTAGAACTTTCTGCAGTGATAGAAAAGTTCTATAGCTATACTTCCTAATATGGGGGACCACTTAGTTATGTGGCTGTTGAGCTGTTGCAGCTGAGGAACTGAGTTTCTAATGTTATTTAATGTAATTTTACAAATGTAAATTGCCATATAAGGCTAGTGACCTTCTCATTAGACAGAGCTGTGCCTTATCACAGATGGCCTGGTGGCCTTTTTTGCTTGGGATTGTGTTTCTGGTGGGAGGGGCCCAATTTTCTGCTTCAGTCCTGATGTCCCTCCTTTAGGCTGGGTGCCTCTAGTCTGTATTGATCAATTGCTGATGATCAAATGCAGAGCTTTGCATCTGCTAGGCAAGTGTTCTGCTACTAAGCTATACTCCTGGCCCCTCATCTATCTATCTATCTATCTATCTATTTATTTATTTATTTTTGTCTTTTTGAGACAGGGTCTCCTTGTAGCCCCAGCTGTCCTGGAACTCACTCACTATGTAGACCAGGCTGGCCTCGAACTCACAGAGATCTGCCTGCCTCTACCTCCCGAGTGCTGGGATTAAAGGCGTGTGCCACCACACCTGGCCTGTCATTTAATTTTTTAAATCTTATTCCATCTCACTCTGAATAGTTTTTTGTTGGTAAGTTATCTGTAGCTCCTCCATTTGGAGGCATAAAGAACTACATGACTGTATTGTTGGATTGATTATATGGAGTGAAATTTGTAAAGCCCCAGCCCAGGCCTGTACATCATTAGGGCTGGGAGTGGCCATACTCCTTTCTTCCACATTCATTAGCATGCTCCTGACCTGAGAGAATAATCATGACACCATGAATGTTATGGAGGAGAGTAGGTATATATCAGGCAAACTGAGACATGGGCAGTCCAGATTCTGATTAGGACTAGGGTAGCAGCAGTGATGATGTGTTCTCTGGACCTTGATGAAACCATGCTAGTTTGGAGCCTGGGCCCAAGCCCTCTGAACCATATTTCTGTTCCATCTAATGTAGGTGATTGAGGCTCCCTGTGCCTTGGCTTCAGTGTAGAGAAGGGAGTAGGCCTTAGTGTTCTTTGATAAGTGCTGAGGGAAAGGGTCCTCAATCCTAGAGTCCCCAACAGAATACAACATGGTGAGCCATGGCCAGAAAACTGTTGGTGATTTTTTTTTTTTTTTTTTTTTTTTTTTTTTGGCCCTCTGACTGCTGCCTCCCCTGGTAGTAATGGGAAGGAACAGAGATGTTCTATATTGGCCCCACAGAGCCACAAACTGGAGGGAAGTGGAGAGCCAGAGCTCAGGCCTTGAGTCCAGCGAAGCACGTCAGAAATTTGCAGGAGCCAAAGCCATCTCATCTGACATGTTCTTTGGGCGAGAGGTAGATTCTGAGGTGAGTAGAGTTGCCTGTTTGGCAGTAGGTAGAAGCTTGTGCTTCCTCCCTGCCTCTACTTTGGGCTTTAGCATCAGGGTGGCTTGGCCTAAATCAGCTCTTTCATCATTGGCCAAAAGATTCCCCAGACTTTGCCTTTTCTCCAACACAGTATGAAGCCAGGTCTCGGCTACAGCAACTCTCAGGTAGCAGTGCCATCAGCTCTTCAGACCTTTTTGGGGACATGGATGGAGCTCACGGAGGAGGTAAGGCTCCAGTGGCATGGCAGGCATCAAGTGAGGCCTGTACGCTCAGCAGGAGGACCCAATTGGCTGGGAAGGACTTCTTGCAGGGCTCTTGATCACCCCTTCCCTTACTTTTACAGGAAGCGTATCTCTGGGAAATGTGCTCCCTACAGCTGATATTGCCCAATTTAAGCAGGGTGTCAAGTCTGTGGCTGGCAAGATGGCTGTGCTGGCCAATGGTGTGATGAATTCCTTGCAGGTGAGGCCAGAATGCTGGACCTAGAGAAGAGATCTAAAGAGTAGTGCTTGGAGGTTTGCCTTCTACTGCATTCACACATTACTTCTGAGTAGCAGCTTGCAGCTGTATAGAGACCATTTGTTTTTCTTGGTGGGTCAGCCACCTTCCAGCCCTGTATTGGGCTGAGCCTCTCCCTAAAGTGATGATAATGTGTCTGCACTGATTTGACCTAGCTTGTTACTTCCAGTGATGTTCTTCCCACCCAGGTTCTGTGGGATCTAGCAGGACTTCTCCTTTGATTAGTACCCAAGTGCCTCTCACCCCAACTTCCATCACTCTCACCATGGGAGCCCCTAGCCTTCTATAGCCCTAGTTTTGTTGTAAGGTATGCTGGGGAAGTAGTGTGCATGCTGGGAAGTCACTGCAAGTTAGAGACCCTGACTTTGTTTTTTCTTTTCCCCACTCTCAGGATCGCTACGGTTCCTACTGATCCACACTCTGTGGTTCAGGCCTATGGTGATGACAGCAAGAACCCAAATTCCTAAGCCAGGGATGCCCACCCTGTGGAACTGGGGCTCTGTTAACTTTCTGTGTGGTGTATGAGTTGGGTGGCCTTGGAGAATCTTGGGCAAGGGGAATGGTCAGCATAAGCCCTTGTCCTTTGCCTATGGGTTGAACCCTTGTCCTCATCCCTCACATCCTCCCCTCCATGCTAGTGTGTTTCCTTCCAGTCCTACCCCAAAGCTGCTGCTCACTTGGCCTGCTTGCACTGGGAATAAGGAGAGGAGTTTCCTCAGGATGGTTTACTCTGGGTCTAGTTCTTCCCTATGTAGGGAAAGTATAAGGCTTTGCGGGCTCTAGGATCCTTCTAGGTGGTCTGAGGCCTTGGGCCTCTGTCCTCTGGAGACAGGGGAGGCCTAGCAAGAGTTGTGCTGTAAATCAGTCCTCAGGGAAGAGGTTCTGGACTTGCCACTGCTATTGCTGCCAGTGGCCTCTTCTGGGTATCAGGAGAGGATGGGGGAGGAGAAGGACCCCGGTAACTTACTAAGGGCTAGAACCTTTACCTGGCACTTAAAGGTTTTGTTTAGGATGAGCATGGAGGCCTGACTGATGATCCTGTCTTACTGCTGTCACTTGAAGGCTGACTTCTGCTAGGTGGCTAACAGCCCTTCCCTATCATTGTGGGCCATGGTACCCTCTGTCCATGCCCAGGATTTCCCTTCAACTCCTGTTTGGTGTCCATGGTGGGTCTCATCTGCTCTGTGTCCTAACTGGATGCTGTGAACCTGCTATTGACTGAGGAAGCTGAGGCCCTGAGAGAAATAAGCCCCTGGGGCTCAGCTTTTGCCCTCTGCGTCATTCTGGGCTTAGGGGTCCTGGGCAGCACCCCAACAGTAACAGCATGAGGGACCTGCAGCTGCAGGCCCCACACTATGGCAGCTGGGCCATGCACTGTGTTATCCTTGGTGCCATCTTCCCCTGCCATGCTGGCAGTCTGGGCCCAACCCCTACCTGTGTATCGCAGGTTGGGCCCCAAGCAACACAGACCACTCTTCCTTCATGCCTCCTCAGAGGGACATGACTTTCTTTCAGGACTGTCTGTATTGAAACAAAGTGGTGTCAAAATAAAGCCCCCACAGGACCCTGTGGGTCAGTGTCCTCTCCATCCTGCCTTCCTGCCAGTGCGGCCCTTTGCTCACTCTCTGGGCTCCCACCGATATGAGTTGGGTGTTGGTGCCAAAGCTGAGGGCACTCTCTCCAGGGCCTCCTGCTTGTCTCTTCTCTGAAAGCCAAAGGCCCCTGGCTCCTTGCCCCTGTGCTGCCGCGGGGTCCGGTACAGCCTCAGCCTCACCACCCTGTTGCATGTGGAGGAAAGAGGTGGTGTTAGTTGTCCCTTTAGTTCATCTTGCAGAACCCTATGATTGAGGGTGGTGGGCAACCTCGGTGGTCTGCACCTCACCACAGGAGGCAGGACTGGAGGCCTGTTTCTCAGTGGAGTTGAAATTTATTTTTATTTCAGACAGTGTCTCGCTCTGTAGCTCAGACTGGCCTTGTACTTGCAATCTTCCTGGCTCAGCTTTCCAAGTGTTGAGATTATAAACATGAGCCACCATGCCTGGCCTGAAAAATCATTTTAAATATTCAGACTTAAGTGAGACCATTTTATATCCTGAAAGAGTTAAATATGCTTGTGTGTAAACCCTTGACTTGATCAACCCTTTCCATATAGAGAGTCTCTGTCCTTAGGAATCCTCAGTATGGGGATTTATAAACCATTATAAACAATTGGTATGGGGATTTATAAACCACTGGAAAATGGAGAGTTAGAACAAGTAGAGGGAGCCATGGAGTTACCTTCAAGCCAGTGATTTCCAGTGCTTCAGAATTATCTGGGATATTCATAAACTATAGTCCCAAGCTGGTAGAGTAGGACTCCAGTTGGTAGATGCCACTGTTTTAAACCTCCCTGTTATTGTGGTACACTCAAGAATTTGAGGAACCTTTCAGGGGCTGACTCAAATACTTGTAGGTAGGTCTGGGACTACTTCAGGATGAACTTGCCATGGCACTGCACGGCTTTGGAAGCTACTCATAATCATCCAAGGGCACATCTTGGTAGGAAGTAGTACAGGAAAACATGTATCCAATAGTAGTGACCCTGGCCTCATTTGGGGAGCCTACTTTGCTCAGGTGCCTGAGAAACCTGTTTAGTGAAGGATCTGTCACCTCATTCAAGAAGATGACCTTACCTTCATCCAGGTCTTGGCATGTACACTTAGCCTGCTTTGTGTGTATCTACATTTCTACTGCTTTAACGTGGAATGAGTCTTCTCAAATATTTAATGTAACCCTGACAAAAGGCTGTGAGCTCGAGTTCTTTGTGGCTAGGCTCTTGAAAGTGGTAGGAACCTGTCCTTGAAACATCTGAGATGTTTCTGAAGTTGTGCACACTGTGCCTTTGAATGGCTACCCTCATTTGTAGGAGGCCAGGTTCTCTGTCAGCTGGGGCATGTCTCCAGGCTGGAGCCCCAGGCTCTACCTCCTACCCAGCCAGAAAAACATCCAAGTCCACACTCACCCTTTCCCTTCCCTTAGCCTATTGGCTTTAGACTCACCATTTACCAGACACAAGGGACTTTATTCATTTAACAGATTTAACTCTTTGACACAAACTTAAAGCAAATTCTGAAGGCGAAATTTCTTGCCCATCTTAATCCTAGTGGCTGATTTCTCCAGCAGAAGGCCACAGTTGGTATGTCTTCCCAGTACTTGCTCTCAGGAGTCACCTTTTACTGCAAGGCCCTGCATTACTAATTCATGTTCTCCCTTTTAGGAGCCCTATGAGAAACCTCCCTTAATGAGTATAGCAGAGGGTGGACGAGAAGACACTGCTCTTGAGGGGTAAAGAGGACTGCCAACAAAAGGCTAAAGCCAATACCTTTCCCAGTGCTGAGGTGGCCTCAGGACAGTATGGCAATTTAGGGCTCAACAAATAGTCAAAAGTCAATGGCCAGGGAGCTGTGACTATGAAATTTCTGGGGTGACTGCTTGGCTTATCACTGTACTGCAGGTCTCATGGCTAGAGCTGTTTGTTATTCACCCCTTTCTCCACTAGGGGGCAGCACAGTGACACTGGCGAGGTGGTCTGGTGAGGGTAGCTAGGGCAGGGTGGGAAGTAAGGTACAGGTCATAAACAAGGCCCCTTGGACTCAGGTCTCGGATTCATCTGTCTCTTCTGTGGAGCCATCGCTTTCTGCATCCACTTTGTGGGAGTGATGGAGGGGTCTCCATGGGGAGCCAACCCGGGGAGGGGTCCGGGAAGGCAGGTAGCTGGCCTCTGTAGTGGTAGTGATGGAGTTGACCAGGCCAGGGACCTGGACCAGCCTGAAGGAGGGAAGAAGACCCATGGGCAATGAGGTATCTCCTATACAGAGACCAGAACCTCCACACTTCTACACCTGAACAAACCCCCAGAGACTCAGGGTACTTCTGTCCTCTGCTGACCAATGAAGGGTGTTAGATAAGTGCTGTGTCATCTACAGTGGGGCACAGCCACATCTGACAGGTTTGGCTTCCACAAGGGAGCCACATTTTCCCACTTAACACTTACAGCCTTTCTAGCTCCTCATCCATGGCTGGGTCATGCATCAGGTCTCCTTTATCAGGCAAAGCTCCTGGAAGGTAGAGATTTGGAGTGGAGTCACAGAACAACCTGAGGGCCTCTCAACCATGCACCCGATACCCTGTGCCCCTCACCTTCACATCTGCCAACCCTGGGAGGGCTGATGTATGTGGAACTGTTAGTCCTGGGTGCTGCTTCATAAATTTAGGGCAGCCCACTGTTTCCCTCTCCTACTTGGGGCAGGAGCAACAGCTAAGGAGATGTCCCCAGACAGGGTGATCTTCTTCCAAGATTAAATGTGGTTTATGAGTTTGCATAGGGATTTAGTTCTTGAGACCCCAGGGACTAGGCTGAAGATTATGACCCATGCTAACTCAAAAGGTTTAAAAAAAAAATCAAATTGTATGTCCCCAAATCTGGATGACACATGGAGGCATGTTAAAAATTACTCCCTCTGAAGCCAGGTGTTGGTGGCCTATACCTTTAATCCCAGCTAGACAGTCACAGGTCTCTAGACTTAATCTTTTTTTTTTTTTTCTTTTGTCTTTTTGAGACAGGGTCTCCCTGTTAGCCCCAGCTGTCCTGGAACTCACTATGTAGACCAGACTGGCCTTGAACTCACAGAGATCCACCTGCCTCTTTTCCCAAGTGCTGGGATTAAAGGTATGGGCCACCACTACCAGCGAAAGACTTAATCTTAAAAGTACATATTGCTGGGTATGGTGTCTCACGCCTTTAAGCCCAGCACTCGGGAGGCAGAGGCAGGCGGATCTCTGTGAGTTCAAGGCCAGCCTGGTCTACATAGTAAGTTCCAAGACAGCTGGGGCTACAGGGAGACCCTGTCTCAAAAAGAAAAAAAAAAAAAAAAAGAAAAAAAGTACATATCTAGGGGCTGGAGAAATGGCTCAGCGGTTAAGAACACTGAATGCTCTTGCAGAGAATCCAGGTTTGATTCCCAGCACCCACATGGCGGCTACCAACCGTCTGTAACTCCAGTTCCAGGGGAATCTGATGCTTCCTTCTGACTCTGCAGGCATTGCACGACAGGGGTGCACACATGCAGGCTCATACACATTAAAAAAAAAAAAAGTACATATCTGGCACTAGTTCAGTTCCTGACTCTCCCAGATTTTCAGATGATGTCTCCTATTTGGGGGTGTCTTGGAGACAAAGGGATCAGGGCTGTTCAAGCAGGCTGTTTCCAAGTTTCTATTTCTAACATGCTTCTATTTACTGACATTCCAGACATTAATCATTAACTAGTGCTCAGTAAAAATAGTGAGGGTCCTTTTTATTTCCCTTAGAACTGAAGATTGAACTGAAGGCCCTTTTTCGAAGACCTTAGAGCAGTGGGGGGATGAGGCTGGAGAAGGCTGTGATTCAGTTGGTAATTAGCATCTCTCTTCTTTCTTAGTGACTGGGGTAGAAAGGTGGTCAGTTCTTCAGCACTGTGAAAGAACACCTGGAGAGACCCCACTGGCTCTTGATTTCTGATTCCCTGTTTGCCTCTTCTCTAGTCCTAGTCCAGTTGGTAACCTTGGTTATGAAACTTAGTTGACAGGGTCCCTGACTCAAAGTAACCAGGCTTCTGGGTAGCATGTGTTCTCAGCCCAGGTTTAGCATGCCTGTCTCCTAGAGAACCCTGGCAGGAGATGTGTATGTTTCCTAATAAGCATAAAGGCTCCAGCACAGCTCCTGGCCCACTGTAGTAGGCATTTAGCAAATGTTAACTGCCCTTTCTTCATCCCATTCCCTTAACTGGCAAAGGGAGGAGGAGTGCCATGAGACTCAGGAACCTGGATCTAAGCACACCAGGAAGACTTCCAGGAAAGGCACAAATAGTAACCCCTTAAATCTCCAGCAGGAGTGGCCTGCTGGCTCATCCCTGGGAGAGCAGTAGCTGTGGGCAAGGAGCAGAGTTGGGTGGGTAGACACCAGCCAGTGAGAATAAATTAGCCAGGAAAAGTGGGCCACTGCAGGCTTCCCCACCTTCCCCACCCCCTTCTCTTTATCAGATTTATCAAAGTTCTTTTTTTCCCAGCCAGGAAAAATAAAAAACACCTTCCAGACACACCTTTGCTCTGTTTCTGAATGGGATTCAGGTCTTTTGATATATAATCTCCAGAGCCACTGGGTCTATAGCCCAACCTGGGTCAATAGTCCAGCCTCTACTCAACCTGCAGGCCACTCCCCAAAGCAGAGCCAGGGATTCTACAGGGAGGGCTGCACAGGCCTTTGCCAGGGAGCAGTGCAGCAGCTTCATTCATGTTGTGGCAGGGCCTGGGGAAGAAGGCTGCCCCTCACGTGGGAATGCAAGAGGCCTTCTACGGCAGGTCTTGGGTTGTGTACACTGCAACTCCCTAGGACTGAGATGTCAAGGCGGAGACAGAACTTCCTTCAGCCCCTGTGGGGCCATGTCTGCTGATAGAGGCGAGTTGCTACCAGTGTTTTGGGGGAGGAGCAGCTGGCCACATCAGGTTCTACTTACCCAGGGCTTGATTGAGTCCATGATGCTTTGAGAGGGCCACCAGGAATCCGTAGAAAGTCAGCCTCTGCACGCTGCTCAGGATCTCTTTGACAAGTGCTGGGGGCGGGCAGCTAGAAGGAGAATACAGAGACCAGTTCAGAGACCAGCAAGTCTGAGTGCCACCTTTTCATCTGCACCTTCAGGATTAGGACACCCAAAGCTGGGAGCCCCATGGCCGTGGGCAACCATGGCAGAAGCAAGGCCCAGACTGAAGATGGGAGGGGCTGGTATACCTGCTGGTGTTTAATTGTGAGGGTGTTAGAGATGGAACATACTAGGTAAGCGCTCTGTCCCTTAACTGATGCATGTAGAGAGCATCAGAGGGAGAGGAGGAAGACACAGCTACTGGTGACAGCCCCTTGGCTGGGGCTCTTTCCCTAAGGGAACCTTTGTGCCACCCAGGCTAGCGTAGTCTTCCTTTTCTGTGGGACTGTTTGGAACAGTGATGCTCTTTCCTTTTCAAGAAGCCAAGGTCAGTCTGCCCCTAGTAAGATGGTTACCTACAGCTAGTCTTTCCCAGGTGAGTGTTCCTTTGTAAGTGAGCCAACTGGAAAGCTTTTCAGCCACCATCTGCTTTGCGGAGAAACAGATCAGTTCTCCTATTATGACTGTGTTAGGCACTGGATGCCCTGAACCAACTGGAACATTTTGCTAGAGACTTGTTCTCAGACTAGCAGCCTGTGATCTCCAGGGCTGAGGTGGGGGTCTCTGCCCATGTCCCACCTGTACTTCTGCCGATCACACAGGTTTTCCAGGCACTGGTAGAACACTGATGCCTCTACTCCTTCCAGCATGCTGGCCTCGCCCAAGGCAGGTCGTTGGCGGTGTTGCCCACTGGATGATGTTGGCACAATCACTGTATTGGGGTTCTTCCCTGACAACAGGTCCTGATAGATGGCAGCCACACTGTCCAGGAATTCTGGTACCATGGGGGTGGGAAGATGAAGTTTAGGCAGGAAAACATTTCATCTGTTCACCATGTCCTCGATTTTCTGATAGCTCAGCTCCATCCACCCTTGGTACGGACTCCTTAACACCTAGTTTGACTGCTGCCCTCATGAGACGTGACATTCATATGTGCTTCTGCTCAAATGCTCCATCGAGACTGTTGTTCTAGCTATATCCTCAATGCAAACTTGCAGAGTACCATGTGCTTTTTGTAGCACTTACCCAGTGACGGGTTTGCTACATAATTATCTTGCTGGAATGTACAATCCTCATACAAAGGCATAGGCCATGCCCTATTGCTACTGTGCTGGTACATGTTAAATGCTATCAGTACTCAGTATTTCTTTTTTAAAAAAATATTCTATTGCCAGGTGTGGTGGCACATGCCTTTAATCCCAGCACTTGGGAGGCAGAGGCAGGCGGATCTTTGAGAGTTGGAGGCCAGCCTGGCCTACATAGTGAGTTCCAGGACAGCTCGGGCTACAGGGAGACCCTGTCTCAAAAAGCCAAAAAAAATTATTTATTATTTTTACTTTATGTGTATGTGTGCATTGCCTGCATGCAGGTAAGTGCATCTGTGTTGTGCAATGCCTGTGGAGGACAGAAGAGACTGTCAGATCCCCTGGAACTGGAGTTACGGACAGTTGTTAGCTGCCATATGGGTGCTGGAATTCAAACCCAGGTCTTCTGCAAGAACAGTCAGTGTTCTTAACTGCTGAGCCATCTCCTCAGCCCCCTGTACTCAGTATTTCTTTAAAGTGAACACGTGCATGTTCTCATGGGTAAGCCCTATTTTCTGAGGTCACCTGCTTCATGAAAGCATGTTGGAGGCTTTAGACAGTACCCTTATTACTGCCTAGCCCGCTGCTGCTTTTAGTGAACTCAATAAAACAAAAACAAGAAAAAAAATGTCAAGGAAGAGAGAAAGCTTACAGGCGGCCAATTTTGCAATCATTTGAAGTTGTCAAAGTTTTGTAGTTGTACCACTGTTAGTGACCAATGACTTATGACCTGTTTCATCTCTAACATTGCAGAGCAGTAACCCAAGGAGCTCAAGGAGGCTGTCCAATCCTTCTAGAAGTGCTGTGAGAGAAGGACCAGGAGACTATGTGTGTGTGTGTCTGTGTGTGTGTGTATCTGTGTCTGTGTCTATGTGTTGTGTGTATGTGGGAGCATAGCTGCTCCTTTCCTAAGGTCCAGGAGCTTCAGAGAAATGAGGCATGGATGCTGGTGCTGCTGGGAGCAGGTGGCATGATCTCAGGCTCTAGCTGCTGCCTGAATAGCCTTTGGGCTGCCATCAAGTAAACAATGTAGTGCCCAAGGGAGGACAAAGCTGGCTGGGGCACCAGTTGGCAAGGCCAGTACTAGCCTTCAAGACAGCCTTCTGTTTACTGGAAGAGCTCTTTTTAAATAAGTTTCTTTATGGACACAGTGATTTTTAAACCCTATATTAAACTTCATGCCACCTGTATATTAGCTTGTACAAACATATTTATTCATCAAAAATAGATGAATAAATTATTACAGTTGATTCCAGAAGGGACTTACCAGTGCAGCTGGCATGAATCAGGGAGCAAAGTAGAAATGTGAACTATAGTTGGTGTGCATGTGTGTGTGTGTGTGCATGTGGTATTCTTGTTCTTTAAGAGATGGAGTTCATATCATGTTGCCCAGGCTGGCCTTGAACTTCTAGGCAGAAGTGGCCTTCTTGCCTCTATTGCTTTTGTAGCTTGGACCACAGGCATGCACCACTGTGCCTGGTTTGATGTGTGCTTATTAAAACCTCTGAATATGGTTAAAAAAAAAAGGTATGATACATGCCATCAAGGGCCAAGGAAGTGGCTAAGGGCACAGGTCTGGGATATACCACTGTGGAGCCATGTGACTTTGGTTATTAATCTCTGCTTATCTCTTAGGTCTATGCCTGGGACGTACTAAGTTTTTAATTAGAAGTGAATGCTATTGATGTTGTTACTGTTGTTGTCACATAAATGGGTTTTTTGTACTGCTATCTGGAAACTGTGTTGTTCCAATGACTTCAGGAGGCTGAGGAAGCAGGATTCACAGATTAAATCTTGTGACCACCAGTGCAAATCAGACATCCTATTAGTGGGCCACGGTGAAGCATGCCCCTAAAGGAAATGGGAAGGGAAATGTGTGTGCCAGGCACACAGATGGAAAGGACAACAGGGTGGGAAAGGGAGACATGATCCCAGACTGAAGCCACATGGGGCTTGGAACATTCTCACCTGAATAGTAAAACTGGATCTGGAAGGCGAAAAGGAAGTCTGAAAAAGACATCAGGCAGTCCATGGCATCATCCATGAGCACAATCCTGAGGGAAAAGAGAGTATGAGAGACAGAGTGTGTGTTACATGTGTGTGTGCCTAGGAAGACAGAGAAAACAAGTGAGAGAGTATACACATGAGAGACAATATGCATAAAAGGGTTTTTCCTAGACCTCCAGTCTCCCCTGGAACAGCAGCATATTTGGGAGAAGGGTCCTCAAAGCAAGCTCCTCCTAGTCAACTCCATCAATGGAACTCTGCCATTGAACTGAACTGAGTAGACTGTACTAGAGGCAGGGGTCCCAGGGTCAGTCTCAGTGGCACCAGTCAATGGAGCATGAGCAGAGTTGGGAGCAGGTGGGGCAGCAAAGAGAGGGCACAACTGTAATGCAGCCAAGATTTCTTTTCATACTTAAGCAGTAAATCCTTTCATTCTGCAGTGAGGACCATTTAGTTCCAAATAAATACAGCTGATCAGAAAAGGCAAAATGAACAGCCAAAAGGTTTAAAGGGGTCTTGGCAAGTGGTACTGAGATTTAATAAGCTACCAAATAGCTAGAACAGTGACAGGCACCTCTAATCCGCGACACGGAAGGCAGACAAGGGGAGAGGGCAAATCTGCACTTGAGAGGGTCAGAGAACACAAACGAGCTGAGGATGCTGAAGAGGCCATTGCAAGGTAACCACCTCCTGTCTCTACTCCTCCCACTGGGCACCCATAGGAAGAAACTGCTTGACTAGTGAATGAATCACACCAAGGCCATGTTCATACTCTGCTCAGGGATACAATTGAAGAGGGACAGGAAGAGGAGGAAATTAGCACTTGCTGGGCTCCTTCCGTGTGCCAAACTCCTCTACTGGAACATAGTTGGGCCTCCAATCTGTTTCTGACTGGGCCCTTCTGGGTTTATCTTTCTATTTTAATCTGCTTTGTTTTGCTCTTGTATATTTGAGTCAGACGGTCCCCAAACTGGCAGTTGGATCAGCTGGAGAGTCAGTATTGTCCACTCTAGGAATGGGGCTGTGTGGAGACTATGGTGCAAGTGCTACCTCTGCCCTAGAATTGTGCAAGGAGGTTGGTCTTGGTTTCAGATCTCCCTGAAGAGAGAAAGGTTGCTGGCTAGCTGTAATAACAATAACAGAGACAGGTATCATTTTACTGAGCTCCCTACTCCAGGGAATGCACTACACACAGTAGTTAACTACTCCTTTCATTCAATTTTATCCCATAGTGTCCTAGAAGGTTGTTTTGTTATTTCCCTTTTGTATGTGAGGGGTTTTAAAACCCAAAGAAGTCAGCTTACCAAAGTCACACACAGCTTGTGAGTCTGCATGACTCCATAGGCTGAGTGCTTCCATTAGGTCACACTGCTTTTAAAATGAAGAAAAGACACAGAATAGAAGCACTAGCATATTCTTTTACCCCCATCTATAGCTTAGGGCCCTAACTGTTTCTTATGTGTCTCTTGGGGGAGAAAGAAAGCTGCAAAACTGAAGAAAAGTGCAACATTGAAATTCCAGCCAGAAAAAATAAGGCCAGAGTAGGAAGAAGGAATGCTGCCAGGGGCCACAGGAGGGCGCTTTGGTCCCTCAATCCCCTATTAATGGGAGATTCAGTGCAGAATGGGGATGGGGGTTGGGGGAGGCGGGGGTTTACCTTGATTTCTCATAACTAGAGGCAAAAAGAAGAGAGGCCATGGAGCGAGCCCACTTCAGACATCTGGATGGGAAAGAAGGGACAGAGCAAGGAGGCAGACAGCACTGGAGTTAGCAAAAATTCTCACACCTCAGACGAAGCAGGTCTGCCAAGACACCCAGCAAGGAAGGCTGCTAGCACCTCAGAAGGAGAGAAGCCAAAGATTTGTCCTTGCTGCTAGCCAAGCACCCAGTAGCCAGTGGCATAAAACAAATGATTTAAGGAGAGCATCAGACAGAGTATCCCTCTCAGGAAACCTTGGGGAGAGCCATTGAGGATAATAAATACTTCTCTATCATTAACCTGGAACCCAGGGCTCTTATTTATAATCAGTTTATTTGCATTCCATTTATTATATTGTGCTATAATTAAAATGCCATAAAATTCAGGGCGGAGAGATGGCTCAGCAGTTAAGAGCACTTGCTGCTCTTGCAGAGGACTTGGGTTTTGTTCCCAGCACCCACATGATGGTTAACAACTGTAACTCCAGTTCTAGGGGATCTGATGCCCTTTTCTGACCTCCTTGGGCATTGCAGGCAAGTGGTATACTTACATACATGCAGACAAAACACGTATACACATAAAATAAAAATTGAAAAATATAAAATTCACCATTAAAAACATATAAATCAGTGTTTTAGTATATTGAAAACATTGTACAATCCTCATCACCCCTGTCCTAATTCCAGAGGTTACCTCCCTTTGTAGTTATCCCTCAAAGCACACTCCTGAGACAGGCCCTGTCTCCCTGAGGATTCAAGCAGATCCCTACTCAGCACTCTGGGATGTGAGAGAGGAAAGTGCTTTCCCTAACCCAGACTGGCGAAAAGCTATGCATTCCTCTTCCCACCCTCAAAACTGGCTCCAGCTTTCTGTCAAAGGTGATTTCCTGGAACTCACTATGTAGATCAGGCTGGCCTTGAACTCACAAAGATCTGCATGCCTCTGCCTCCCAAGTGCCAGGACTAAAGGTGTGCGCCACCATGCCTGGCTCCTAAATAAATATTTTTTAAAAAGGATAAAAAACGCTGGGTGTGGTGGCGCATGCCTTTAATCCCAGCACTCAGGAGGCAGAGGCAGGTGGATCTCTGTGAGTTCAAGGACAGCTGGGGCTACAGGGAGACCCTGTCTCAAAAAGACCAAAAAAAAAAGGGATAAAAAACAAACAAAATACCCTATATAGCCAAGTGTGGTTATAGGCAAGAAGGCATGTGTCTAAGGCAAGAAGATTTCAAGTTCAAGTCTAACCTGGGCTACATAAAGAAACTCTGTCTCATATAAAACAAAACACTCAAATTGAGATAAAATAAAATACAGACACAAATACCATATGTGGCATTGTCCATCTCCAGACAGACACTCTGACCCATGAAAGTTCTGGGCATCTTCATCTTGCTCTGAACTCCAGCAGAGCTGTGGGAAGAGGCAAGCAGGAAGCTACAGCCTAGCCTTTATCTTCCAAGAGATGGAAAACCTGAGGTTGTACATTTCCACAGGCAGCTCCTTGATCCTGAACTCAAACTCATTGCCCCCAGAGGGCTCCTGAAGGAACCTAGAGACAAGGTCATCCACATGTGCTGTTTTCCAGTAGATGGTGGTTGGCTTGACACCCCTTCCTGCCAGAGGCCTTTTGCTAATATGCCAGCTGCTTCTGACACCTGGAGGAGCCTGACCACCCCAGCTTTGAAGTGGAGCCAACAGGGAACTGCTGCCAAGAGTTTGTACAAATCTATTGGATCATGGAGGGATCCTTGCACCATGCCTCTGGGCTAGAGAGAAGGCAAGACCTCTGGGGGAGAAATAAAGGCACTCTGGTTCAGGCTGGCATTGAGCAGAACCATGTGGAGGGTAGAGTCCAGAGCAGGCAACTGAGATGAAGAAAGGGTACTTGGCAGGGTCCGAGCTAATCCCTGGGGGTTAGCTGCCTCACTCCCTTGCTGACTCTAACAGCTGGGATGAGCTGGCTGATTGGGAGGTAAATGAGTGCCAAAGAAGCAATAGCTTCCAGTCCAGACCTCCTGATGTGCCAACCTCCTTTGCACCCCTAAGGGTCAGTCTATAAGATGGACCCTATTTTTCTGAAATTCTGGGTTTGATGACCCTGGGATCAAGTCTCAGTTCCATCACTCACTCGCTTCAGTTTTGTCTGTCCTCAGTTTCTTCATTTACAGAGTTAAAATAATCATAGTTCCTATTCCAGAGGACTCGAGAAACACAATGTAATGACGTTCCTCACCTAGTGTCTAGTAGGCTGCAAGTGTGAGCTGCTATCAACATGAGGATTCTGTCTGGGTTAAGGTGCTAAATGTGCTCAAAATAACAAAGTGGCTCAAAGGAAGCAAACTCTGCCAGCTCCCAGCCAGGCAGAGGCTGCCAGCCAGAAGCAAGCTATTTAGTTTCCAGCCCACTTTTTTAGTTTCCAGCCCACTTTTGGGAGAAGCCAGCCCTTAGCCAGGGCCAGAAAGAAGAGCCACTTTTCATGACTGGACCTCTCTGTGGAGGTCATATGACTGTTGTCCTTCATGGAGACAACTGAAACATGTCCCCAAGTCTATTTGGGCCTACAATACACCCTGGCAGGTTGTGTTTTAAAGTCAGGGCAGTGAGAGTGGGGAAGTGGTAAAACTATACTGGGCTACCTGCCCCATGTAGGGGAGCAGGTTGCTGGGCAGGTTTCCTGGGCACCTCTTTTTCTGAACTCAGGTGTGGGGGGATGACTGTGCTTCACATACTGCCTTAGTTCAGGCCCTCAAATGGCATGGGATGTGCAGGTAACAATTTTTCCTTGGCCGCAGCCTGTTCTTTCATTTCAGAGCTTACTGTCTATACTATAAATCCTGTAAGTTTTCATATTTTTTTTAATTAAAAAAAAATTAAAGGGCTTGAGAGATGGCCTAGGGATTAAAAGAGCACTGGCTGCTCTTCCAGAGGACCCAGGCTCAGTTCCCAGTATCCATATGGAGGCTAAGAACTCCAGGTCTAGGGAATCCAACACTCTCTCCTGGCCTCTGCAGGTATTGCATGCGCATGGTATACTTACATACGCAAAGGTGAAACACTCATACACATAAAATTTTTAAAAATAAATGAAATAAAATTTAAATTATAGTTATCTATTTGTGTGTGTGTGTGTGTGTGTGTGTGTGAGAGAGAGAGAGAGAGAGAGAGAGAGAGAGAGAGTGTGTGTAAGATGTGCCACAGCATATGTATGGAAGGCAATTTGTGGGAGTCGTTCACCATGTGGGTCCCAGAGATGGAACTCATGTTGCTGGGCTTAGAGAGAAGTGCCTTTACCTGCTGAGCCATCTCGCTGGTCCATATTCGTTAACCCTGTGAAGTAAGCTCAGTGAG